GCTTATAATAAATGGTGGCTAAGAACTAAAAGCTATACGAGTCTACTTTAGCCATTAGGCTGTATTTATGTCAATATTATCATATAATACGAACACTACTCATAATAACCTAACTTAACCTAAAAAACATTATATAATACCCTAAATGCCAATTAAAGCAGTTTTACACCACCATAGAATTTAAAAGGGTTTAAGTAATTATCACTACTTTAGATATATATTTTGCGATTGTTCCTTTGGAAAACATAACTGTAGAAACAGTTTGTTTCAAAGCTTTCAAATACTGGAACGATATAATGTTTAACCAGTAAAACATCCTTACAAATGTTCATCAAACTAGGTCAGAGTTATCAAGCTTATACTCAGCGTTCCTGACAGTGTTAAAGTAAGTACACTTTGTATCTTCAATTAAGGATGAAACAGTTCCTAATTCTTTGGATGGATCTGGGTGAATGGCTGATCCCTCTTATTTAATCAGACCCTACTTAATTTAATTCCGCATGACAAAAATATCAAGTCTTCTCAGTTTTTTTGAACATAACAGAATGTAGTTAAAAATTACTTTTATTGAAATTCTGCATTAATAGCTATTACACGCTTATTACGATTGTATCAACTCGAACAAAGAACAATTATACTGGTTCGAATGTTAAATGTCCCACCAATCTTCGTTCGCATTAGTTGGTTTAGTTTTGACTTAATGATCTAACATAGATGGATACATTCTATACACAGAATTGCGCAAAACAAAACACACAGTGCTACATCTGGTAATAAACATCATAAGAAATTACATGTTCTATTAGAAAATTAAATTCAACAATAATAACGGAGTATGTTTTATCGGGGTGAGATCATATTTTAGGTGGTTTGAAGCAAGTTTACAATTTAAACTCCTTATTTGTATTCTAAAACTACTTCACTATATAAGCCGCACTTTGTAAATGGAAAAAATAATTCCAATGTAGTATAAGTGGGTGATACGATTGTATTCATGATCAATGAAGTGATCACTGATGTTAGAATTTGACAAGGTGAATCATCAATCGGGAGAGTTCTAACTCCGTACTCTGGCTGGATATCAAAACTGTGACATTTTGCGGCCCACATCCCTCCTCCCCAACTAGCAAAAACATACTCAGACGCTGGGGTGATATATAACCTCGGTACCTCCATGTGATTTAACATTGTTGCTCATTCTAGCATGAATATACATTGAATACAAGTTTGTAATTTGAATATGACCTAGAGACATGATTTCGATAGTTCTCAAATCTGTAGTGTAATAATTAATGTTCTAATTACTTGATAGTAAATGAAAGTTTATTTTCTTATCCACACGAACCTACAATAGTCCGTTACAAATACATAAAAATATTAATCAAATGCGTTGTTTCAAAAGCGACATTACAATATCAAGATCAACTATATTTGTAATTCAAATGTTAAAAATTACAACTACTGTATATCTATACTATAAGAAGTAACATAAGTAGTAAGGGACAAGACATAAATATTCAATTACTATTTAGTGAAAGGGATAGTAGACTAATACTGTAAAACGTTTCAATACAATTCAGAGGACGATTAAAAATTTTAAATCCTGGAATAAAATGACTCATTTATAAATTTATTGACGCACAATTTACACGGCTTGAAAATTATTTATTTTTGGTGTTTAGAAAATTTTGGAGTTTAGTAGCTATAAACATTGATTTTTTCTACTTAGTTTTATAATGTTATATACTACTATGTGAGGTCTAATACTTTCTGTAAATATGCAATTCTCATTATATTCTGTCTTGTAAAAGATAGTAATTTTTACGATAGTCGTTAAAAACTATAATCTTACACAAAAATGAATAACTTTTGATACGAATTGAGTTTAAAATAGTGTGTTTCCTGGATCCTAATAGGTCTGACAACCATTTATACTCAATTGGCAAAACGTTCAAAATAAGTGAATAGACAGGCATCAGAGGCAGTTAGTTGTTAATCTCGTTCACCACTGAAATGTGGGTCTCATTCATCTTATGTTAACCGCGCACCACCTGCATACATTGACTTTGCTTTTTATATATTCAAACTCTAAATGGCCTCTGTACTTTAGTGAACAATGTATTTACACAACCGTATTAATAACATAAATTAATAATGACTGTATGCATACTTAAATACTCAATTTTACACCTGTAAATATTATTATTTTGTTTTTAAAATTGTTTTATTACACATTTGCAATTTATCTTACGAAACGTCATATACTGCTTAATGGATAGATCAAGAAGTATAATAGGATCTATAGATATATATCGTGTAAGCGTCTTTCAAATGTTAAATAGCTTTTAACAAATTGTTATCATCATATATAACAAATAAAAATGTCAAAATAAAATGCTTTCACGATGGACACAAAATACCCTAAGTATATTCTGTATATCAAAGCATAACAGTACCTCTTGATTTGATGTAAGTAATTTAATTGTTTCATAAATTGTCTACAATGTTTGAAGTTTTTTATAATTCCCTTATTTAAAAGTGCTCTAAAATAATAATAAACCATTGATTCATTAAATTTAATAATTGATTCCATTACATTAATTGCCACTACTCACTATTTTTAAGATAACGAGTATTAAATACTGTAGTTTTCTTTCATTGCAGGTCTTATGCAAGCTACATAATTATTATTGAATGCAGAACCGACAAACTCTTAATTGACTAATCAAATACTGCAACTTCTTAATTAGCATTTTCTTCTTTTATTTATTTTTTTATTCTGATTACTTTACTTTGTAACTAAGTTTAAACTTTTAATCACAACCATGATTTCTATAAGCTAACTCTACTACTATCTCGCCAACAGTACTATCCTGCAAGTCATAAAGATAATACGCATTATTTTAGTTTGTATGATTGTTTTGACGCTTAAATCCAATGTTCAATTAGCTATGTGGATTACATGTATCATTAATTGACTATTTACTGCCTGAGAGTCTATCTACTGCATCATCCAGGTGTTTAGAAATGCTTATTTTTGAGGATCATTGACAAATTTTTCCAGATTTTCTTATAACTATTACGAGGGAAGATCTGACAAAAGAATGCATCTTTGGACTCAAATTTGCTCGTGAATTTACCATCAACGCTTTGCAATTTATCTCTAATCGTTAGCAAAAGTTCACAGCTATCATTTTAGTAACTATAATTAATAGGTAATAGGTATAACTAATAGGTAACACACACATTAATACAGGTTTTATAAAACCAAAGCTTGTAAACCATCACTATAATTGTATTCCCCATAGACTTTTTTCTTCCGTTCGTTCAATTAAGTTCCAACGTTTGTTATGTTCTGTTCGTAATTAAAACATTTCGAACAAACTCGAGAACTTAAGGACAAAATTAAAGGAATTTACAATTATACTACAGTATTTTAGCATCTATTGTCTACAAGGACATTCGCTTTACTTGTATTTACTTGAAACTTTACGATGTCTCCCATATCATATTTATTGAGTGCTGTATTTTCCATGTACTGTACCTTCAGTTTTTTTTTCAGGACATGATTTAATATGTAACAACAATTGTTTGCAATTACATTGTTTTAATATTCAATTTTAATGGACCAGTTTATGAAAAGGAAACCATTACACGACCAGGGAGCAGCACAATACGTAGGTTAGCTGCAACGACATTTATTCAATCCTGCAGTAGACAGAAGTTGCACTTAAGTGTGGAAATGCACAGGAACACGGAATAAAAATGTTTCTGGATTTGCATGTAGTAAATCTGGATTATCTACAATCCTTTGGGTGGTGGCGAGCGCTTTAAGGGGATTGCCTTAGATTGACTTTGCTTTCTTTATACCCTCTTATACATCAGGACTCGTATACGATTTGGCTGCGAATTCAAACATAATAATATGGATTGCATTTCTACTACAATTTTTTTTAATTAAAGATGTTGGCAGCCTCTGTTAACCTTTAACCTTTAATTTGCCCGTCCACATAGATACTATTTGCCCGTGAGTGGCCGGTAGAGTACTAGGGCGAACTGTACTAAGTAGTAGTGTCAGGTACCAGGATCCGAACCCACGACATCGCTGCCTTTGGCCCATGTCCGTGACGCTACCGACTGAGCCACCGACTCACCTAGCAAAAGATCACGTCTTATATGTTTTTATCTTCAAAAACATATTTCAAAAAACTCTTTAAGACTTCCGAAAACATACTACAATTACAGCATAAAGACAATTACTAAGGGTTAAGTTATTTTTTGGACAGTGTGGATAATTAAGTGCAGTTACTTCACTTCAGGTGAACGATTATGGGTATGAAACTAATTATAGTATGTTTTCGGAAGTCTTAAAGTGTTTTTTGAAATATGTTTTTGAAGATAAAAACATATAAGACGTTATTTAGATATTACTATACAAAGCAAGAAAATAATCAGGATACGAAAAATAAGTTTACTTGAGTGTGTTATCTACTGTCTTCCTCATAGTTGCATTATGTATTTGCAAATATTATACATGTAATTTGATATTATTATGAAATATAAAGTAAATATTGAACCACTTGGATCTGAACGGTCTAAGTGCGATTAATATATGACTAATTTAAAGCAAGCCACGAGAAGCCTGTTGGAAAAGCAAAGGAGAGAAACAAAAAGTGACAACTAATCCGGGTAACTGAGTTTCCAGCTCATTATCTTATAAAAACTCTCAACCAACACTTCAACTTTTCATTTGCATTACTACTTCGTCGTTTAAAATTGTCTTACAGAAATGCAATGGTGGAATATCTGTGGATTTACATTAAATAAAAAAAGTTCAAAGTAAATAATCATAAGAATATAGATATAGATAACTGCGTATTTATACATGTAGTTAAAATATATATTTTTTAAATTAATATAGGTACGTGATTTACAATTTCGATTTAATCTTTCGTTTTAATTTCATTTGGTTGACAATAATGTGACTTTTGTGTTTTCAGGTACGGGCGTGATTTTCGCGTCTTTTACAGGTAAGATTTTATCCATTTGTCAATTTATATTATAGAATTTAATTTTAGTTACACCCCAACTCAAGATTCCTACTAAAGCCATAATACAACATATATTTATGCAAATGGGCATTGTGGTAGGGTTCTACTGTAATGCTTTGGTTACTTGGTTTTATCACAGATTTAGGTGGTTATAACAATGTTATAGCCTTTACAAATTACAACGGTTTTTGCTAATAATATATTTAGTAGAGTATTCATAGTGCTATACACAAATTTGAAAGAAAAGCTTGTATTTATTTTTGTAATCTAGATTATTATTATTTGAGATTGGGACGCTCCGTTTGTGCATATTTTTACTTAAATATCAGTAAAGGATGATTTTATAATGGAGTGTGATGCCTTGTGTAGCTTTGTTACTAAGACACGCTGTTTCAGTAGCCTTAAACATTTATTAAAAGCCCAATGATCTAGGATAGCTGGGTTTTGAATCATTAAATAGCTACACCTTAATTTAATCGTTGAGTAAAGTAATGTTTCTAACCTGTAGGGTTTATAATAAGTTACGATGACGACACTTTTTTTACGTAGACACCCGTCTTACTAATTTCCTTTCCTGAGTAAAATAACAACAAACCCTAGACTCACTGGAAGGGTTGCTAATTAAATGCGGTACCCGATTTGTCCATTAGGGTGACTCTAATCCCTTTATCTGAAGTCTGCTTGATGAACTTCCCAAGGAGTCTTGTCTCTATATTTTTAATTCAACAACTGAGAGAAACTTAATTAATTGCACTATCTGCTACTTTTTAGCGTTAAATGAAAAAATGTAACTAAATACATAGTCTGTTTTTGTAAAAGAGTTCAAACTAAAATAGTTTGTCCCGAAAATTTTTGAGTTATGTTTTAAAAGTAGAGTATTTTCTTACTTCAAAATTTAGCATAATATTGATAGCTTTTTCGTTTTAAACCGTAAAAGTTTTGCCACCATACTTCGTTGTTTAACAAACCATACTGAATCAACCAGCAATCGAAATATAGAATAGTTGCTCAGCTTCATTACCGCACCTCAACTTGGGAGCTTTGAAACTCAGTAAGGTGAACGTTAAAAGCCATATTTTGATGCAACAAATAAACAAATCGCCATCGTGCACCGAGACAGCGGTCGTACGGTATAATAACTTTCTTTACGTTAGGGCTTAAGTCAAAATAGTAGTTTTTTAAAATCGATAAATTCATCTAACAGCATATATGTACACATTTTATATTTATCAAGCTGTGTTTTCCTAAATATAGTAGAGAAAATCTAAAGTTTATAGTTCTTTTGTAAAAATACCAGTCCTAACAGTGAACAAGTAGTCCCAAACTCTATATAACAGACGTCAAAACAAATCTATAATGTTAAAATATTTTAGCATTGGTACGCAACAAAAAATACACATATTCTGTTAATACCAGACATATCAATTCCAATATCTTGAGACCTCTGATTGTTTTGATAGTCTATGGTTAGCTTTCGAGTTTATACAGTTTCCATTTTAATAAGGAATTAACTTCGAACCTATAAACCAAAAACTGAATGACTATGAATGAATAGGCTGCGTCACAGCAGTATCAGTATAGTGCATGGTGCACGATATGTACATGGTATACAATATGAACATCGTACGCAATATTTACTCAATAAACAGTGTACACAATTTTTCGTTTACAAACTCGTAACCCATCCCTGGCACCACGATGATCGTCCCGCGGGCGATTCATTAAAAACTTTATCAACTTGTTCCGCCTGTCAGCGGCTCGTGGATTATGAGCTGTGGAATGGAGAAGTACTGGATTAACAACCCCGTTTGGGGAATCACTTTAGCAAAATTGAAGATTTGAATTGGGTCTGTTTACGTTGCGTCGTTTCAAGGCATATAGCGATTGTCTGATGGGGTCGAACAAATATCTTTGGGTTTTTTTAAACATAAAATTCAATAGTATATTTCCTACATAGGGCCGAAAATGAGGTTTTGCTAGCTGAAGATTAATTTAACGATTACTACACGATCGAGAGCTGCAAAACCCTTTCGTCCCGTGGCACAAACACTATTTTGCACCACACGATACATAATTGAGAAAATGTACAATACATGTGAGAAAAATACAAAAATCTGCTGAAATAATGATAAATAGTTGCTAGGCAGCGCAATAAAACAAGTCTATTAAAATATACTGATTTTGTATTTAATATACATTAGTGTTTTATGTAAATATGCGATCAGCAAATTGTCGACCCTAGGGATTTAAAAACCTGCTCGGCCTCCAAATGACGATGATAGCTGGCATGGATAGCAAAACGTAGCTTTCAGCCTACAATTAACGTCTGTAAAACAGCTAGAAACATCATGGTGAAAAATGTTTTAGTTGTTTCAGGATTTCTTACTAAAGTTATTTGAGATAACCGTCAAACGGATGTTTTACACAATACAAAGCGCAATATAAACATTAGTGATTTTAACTATAGTTTAATTCTTACCGTCTTCGCAACCAGAGGTGATGCTGCACTATGGCCGTTTCGGAGATAACCCTATCGTCGTACACTAAAAAAAGTTTTGTTTTTACACTTATCACAAAATGTATTTACTTGAATTGCACCAGTGGTTAAATAAAAATAATACATATACAAGATACACAATACTACAAGAAAACATTTAGAGCACGTGCAGTGTGCACTGCATAGAAACAGACGACCGACATTTATATTAATTCTAAAGTGAACACGGCATAGAAAATAAGTTTATTTGTGTAATTCGGTAAAATTCAAACCGTAAAATTTGTGAATGACCAACTGTTACCTTACATGAAAATTTGCTGATGCTGCTGAATTTCTCTAGTTAGTTAGCCCTGCTACCTTAAAATTGATTTTTAATTGATTAATTGATTCATTCCCTTACAATTAATTGAGTTATTACTTAAAATTTGTTAAATTTGAAGCACATAAAAAAATAATAACAAATAAGGCAAAAACTATGAGGACTCAGAGATGAGAATCTTGTATATATTATTTTACCAAAAAGTACTTTTTCAGATTACAAATTCTATTCTTAGATATCAACAAGGTCCAGTAGACCAGCGAACCACAGAGACTATTTCCGCTACGTCATTGGGGAGGGCAAAAGAGGTGGCACACATACCAAGGGCAGTGCAATGCTTCATTTAATGCCAACGATGTGTCTAGATCGGCAGTGGAGTGACAACCTGGCTTAGTGTCCAATGGCATCTCACACTGTAGGGAATGTGTTGTGATGCTACTTTTGTTCTTGTGTAGTTATCACACTGTGATCCAAGTTGATTATGTTTGTGGATACAGAAAGGGTATTATGTTTAGGAGGCGGGGGTACAACATCACCAATCACCAATGGAATTTTTAAATGTCGTACCGTAATCCAGGGTTTAATTAAAAAAATGTATGTAAGAACACGTAAAAAGTTGGCTTAATAAATTATCAAACTGTATTGGTTATCTCCTTGGCGGATTTCTATAAACTTCGGATTACTCATATCGTTAGGCCCGGATCTAAATACTAAAATGTGATGCAAGACGTTGCCACATAATATTTAGGTCCGCGTATAAAGTAATTTAAAGTTGGATGTTATTTTGGACACACATAATTTGTTTTAAGTTATAATCAATTGCTCTCTTAAATGTGTTGGCTATAAAATAAAATATAGTTGGATGAGTGAAGAATTGTTTTTGTTTATTGTAATCGTGTGCGTTCTTTCACATCCGTACTAAGTATTGCTTCATACTTCAAAAACAACATGCTATTTAAAAGTAAACGAATTGTTTACACGAACAAAATTATAGAAAAATCTTATCTTTGGTGTTTTTTTGTGTCTAAGCTTATTTAACACCACAGTGATCTGTTAACCTTGTGCTATTTCTCTCACTGAAACAATAGTAACGTCTAGCTACTTCCTTTGTTAAACGTTTAGCCAAAATAGACCTATTGGAATTTCAAAGGTATTTTTAAGAGGATGGCAAAAAGCAATGTTTTAAGTGTAAATTCCTTGCGCGGAGAGCGAAGAGACAGACGAAGACACATCGACCGTCCCAGATCAAGATTGATAGAGCTTGGTTTGGCTTGCCTATTGATATTTGTTCTGGCGTCCTTTCGCGAAAATACCTTCCCGATGTTCATCTGATAACTTTTTATACATCAACTAGTTGCTTGAAGACGGGAATAAAAATAGAGCTCCATGGAGCTATTGTAGAAAATCATTGTTAAAGTCATCTAAGAACATTATTGTACCTATAGCTAATGGCATTGCCACAGAAAAGATGAACGAGTTGCATTATCAAACTATATTTTAGTTTGACTAATTTTTTGTTTCACAACTTAATATTATTTCAATAAAGATTTATTATTATGAGGGTTAACAATGTTTGGGGAGTGAGCTGGTGATTGGTAGAGTGCGAGGTGTTGGTAATTTTGGTGAGTTGATCTATGTGGTAATAGCCCATTAGAAGTAATGCGTAAAACATTTCTGGGTTTTAAATAGCGTTCTAAGATGTTAAGGTGGGACAGAAAAAGTGTTACCATAGTTTAGAGAAGATCACATAATCATCAATAGCAGTTAAATTTTAAAGTATACTTAACAAGAGCTCTTGGGAGGTATTCAATTTCAGTATTGATTAGGCGACATACAATCGAACCTGTTCTTTGCTTTACTCCTGGGAATATTCTGATTGAACTTTAATAACTTGCAAAGCTAACTATCCACTATTGTATAATTGCGATATGATTCACTCGGTCACATAATCCGTTGCCCGAAATATTTATTCCCCTTTTTAATATAAGAAGCTTAAGTCGGTTCACCTGCGTCGTAACCATCACCCTCTCATTATACAGGGATGAAGAACCGAGACTTGCACAGTAAGGGTCGCCTCGCTATAATTATACGTGGTATCCGATTTGGCTTTGGGTTTCTTGTGATATAATGAAGGGCTGTGGGTTTCAACTTTCATACGATTAC